ATCTTTTGAGTCCCAGACTTGGTTGAGCCTTGCTGGGTGATGCAATCTCCCCAGGTGCCATGTGGTGAGTTCTGTCGCTAGGTGGGTAGAGGGCTAATCCTATCTTCGTTGGATCTTGGGTGAGGGCATTTGCTTATGAATAGACCTAGCTATCTCTTTCTGTCTTAAGTGCTGACATCTGCTGTGGGCTATTGAGGAGGGTGGGGGGGGCTATGAAGAGCAGAGGTGGGTTTCAGCAGGTTCTGATCAGTTCTGGAGAACCGGTAGCGGAAATTTTGAGTACTTCGGAGAACCGGTAGTAAAAATTTTGACTGGCCCCGCCCCCATGAGATCATCCGTGGATTTGGGGTGCGATGCCATCTGTACGCTGATGACACTCAGCTGTACATCTCCACCCCAAACCACCCCAACGATGCCCTTGAAGTGATGTCCCAGTGCCTGGAGGCCGTGCGGGTCTGGATGGGGAGGAACAGGCTTCGACTCAACCCTTCCAAGACCGAGTGGCTGTGGATGCCGGCATCCCGATATAGCCAGCTGGTGCCATTGCTGGTTATTGGGGGCGAGTCATTGGCCCCCACAGAGGGGGCTCGCAACTTGGGCGTCCTCCTGGACACACGGCTGTCTTTAGAAGAGCACATGACGGCCATGGCTGGGGGGCTTTTTATCAGGTTTGCCTGATACGCCAGTTGCGCCCCTTTCTGAGTCGGGATTCCTTATGCACAGCCACTCATGCTCTCGTCACTTCTCGCCTGAACTACGCCAATGCTCTCTACATGGGGTTCCGCTTGAGGAGCACCCGGAGGCTCTACCTGGTCCAGAATGCGGCCGCGCAGGTGATTACGGGAGCAACATGGCGCTCCCATATAACACCTCTCCTGCGCGAGCTGCACTGGCTCCCGGTGGTCTTCCGGGTGCGCTTCAAGGTGTTGGTTCTCACCTTTAAAGCGCTCCATGGCTTAGGGCCAGGGTGTTTACGAGACCGCCTGCTGCTACCGATAACCTCCCACCGGCCACTACGCTCTCACAGAGAGGGCCTCCTCAGGGTGCCGTCGGTCAAGCAATGTCGGCTGGTGGCCCCCAGGGGGAGAGCCTTCTCTGTGGGGGCACCTGCCCTCTGGAACGAGCTACCTCCCGGAATACGGCTGATTCCGGATCGCCGCACTTTCCATAAGGCCCTGAAGACGTTTTTATTTCAGCAAGCCGGCCTGGCCTGAATAGGTTTTATGGATTAGTTTTTTAATTGTATAGCTAGGGGTTTTAAATTGGGTGGCTGTTTAATTTAATTTATTTTTAATTATCTTAACTTTTATATTGTATGTTATTTTAATTCTCGGCTGTTCACCGCCCTGAGTCCCTTCGGGGAGAAGGGCGGGATATAAATTTAATAAATAATAATAATAATAATAATAATAATCTATTCTCTGCCTCCCAAGTCCCAGCTGATCGGGAGGAAACAGGGATTTTGCACTATCCTTCCCCTGTATTGGGGAGGGAATGGAGATTTTACAGTATCCTTTCCCTGCCACGCCCACCAAGCCATGCAACGCCCACCAAGCCACACCCACAGAACCGGTAGTAAAGAATTTTGAAACCCACCACTGATTAAGAGTGAGTCTGCTTCCTGCCTAAAAAACATGTTTCTCCATTTCTCATCCCAGCAAAATAATATTCTGCCTTTTTTAATATTTCCTAGAATATTTCATTCTTCTAGGAGAGGGGTGGGTGCTAACTTACTTCCTCCACTGCCAAAGCAGAAGCTTTTATGCAGCCTCAACGAATTGCAAAGGTAGAAATTCAGAGTCAACGGAGACCGTCTATTTTAACCGGCAGCAGAGAATTAAAAACAACAACAACAACAACAAAGCATTCACAGTTTGTCTTGAGTCCTGCATTTGCATAGGACACAAGTAGTGATAATTATATTGCTAAGACTTGTTATAACACAGTTGGCTAGCTCAGAAGAATGAGGTGACTAAACATTGACTCAATAACGTTGTCAACAGTTTAAATACCAAAGCTGCGGGCTTCACTTTGGATTCTGCGACGGAAATACGGTGCAGAAGTTTGCCATAAAGAAACTCCAATGGGACCAAATTATACACAAATGTCACCAGAAATCACATAAATCACAACAGAGAAGTTTAAGGGAGGAGGCCAAGTCTACAACCTACACAACAATTCTGAAGAGAAATTACCAATAGGCAGAAGTGGGCTTCACATTATTTAACAACTGCTTCGCCCCAGCACCGAAAATGCATGCTTAAAAAAACGCAGCTAAATAGGATGGCATAGCGCCAGGGCAGATGGGCAGACCCACCCGCAGGTCACAACTACCAGTTCGCCCAAACTGGTACGAACCGGCTGAATCCCATCCCTGTCAATAGGGTCATATAAACTTTCCTGGATGTCTATGGAGATTGTCAGTTATCCAGGCCATGGTGGTCCGAAAGGTTCTTCTTTCAAGAGGCAATTGGACTTTCTGGTTTTTCTTTGAAGACCTTTCGCTTCTCATCCAAGAGGCTTCTTCGGCTCTGACTGGATGGTGGGGAAATGGAAGGATTTATATCCCTTGCAGACAGCTGGTCATTTGCATTCTTTTTAGAGAGTCGCTGAGGCCTTACTATGTCCTCAGGGTCACCTGAGTGGTGCAAAATGGGTGTGGAGCAGGGGTGAAATGCTCCCGGTTCGGACCGGATCAGCCGATCCGGTAGCGATGGCGGGAGGTGGTTCAGAGAACCGGTAGCAAAAATTCCTGCGCCCCCTGGCCCCCCCATGCCCAGCTGAACCGCGCGATCATCAGAGGCTGTCTTTTTTACTTTTAAAAGCATTTTTTCTATAATCTCTTCCGCCGAAAAGATGCTTTTAAGTTTTTTTTTTTAAAAAAGCCTCTGATGATCCCGCAGCTCATCTGGGATCGTCAGAGGCTTTTAAAAGCATTTTTTTTCTGCAACCTCTTCGGCCGAAGAGGTTGTAGGAAAAAAAAATGCCTTTAAAAGCCTCTGGCGATCCCAGCTGAGTTGCCTGATCGTCAGAGGCTTCTAAAAGCATTTTTTTTCTGCAACCTCTTAAGGTTGTAGATAAAATGCTTTTAAAAGTAAAAAAAAAAAAAAAGTTGGCCACGCCCACCCAGTCACATTACCCCCACCACCAAGCCACGCCCACGGAACCAGTAGTAACAAATTTTAGATTTCACGCCTGGTGTGGAGCCTTCTTGGAACTGCTGAAAGGACTGTGTTGTGGAGCTGTGTTTCCTGCAGGATGTTTTCTGCCCTGGGTCCAGTGGTGAAGAAGAGCCGAAGAAGCTTCTTGGATGAGAAGTGAAACGTCTTCAAAGAAAAACCAGAAAATCCAGTTGGCTCTTGAAAAAAGCACCTTTGGGATTTCCATCCGTTACTTCTTCTCCTGCCTCCAGGTGCTTTGGAGGATAGGCTGACCCCCTTTTCTTTGTGGCAGCCCCTCAAATGTTGGAAGACTGCTATCTTGTCATCCCTAGTCCTTCTTTTCACTAGACTAGACATAACCCAATTCCTGCAACCGTTCTTCATATGTTTTAGCCTCCAGTCCCCTAATCATTTTTGTTGCTCTTTTCTGCATGCTTTCCAGAGTCTCAACATCTTTTTTATTTTATGGTGTGTTAGGAAATGACTATTACCTACAGTACCTTGTTGGGTTGGCAATATATAAACCATCAAAATAGGTTTAAGACTGCTGTATTGCATCATACTGTGTCCTGATTGGTTAGCTCTGTAGCCAATCTCCTTAAGAGGGAGCTAGAAACATGGTTTGTCTCTCTTTGCTGTTCTTGCTCTCTGATATCTCTGTATGCTACTGTTTGCAAATCCAGAAGAACTGTTTATTGTGAATGACTACAACGACTGGTAAGAAGACTTTGTTATTGGATTTTTATTTTTTTTTTAATTTTGATTTATATGCCGCCCTTCTCCGGAGACTCAGGGTGGCTTACAATGTGCTAAACAATAGCCTTCATCCTTTTCTATATTTATACAAAGTCATCTTATTGCCCCCACAACTGGTTCCTCAATTTACCTACCTTAGAAAGGATGGAAGGCTGAGTCAACCTTGAGCCTGGCGAGATTCGAACCTGCAGTAATTGCAGGCAGCTGGTCTTAATAACAGGGTGCTTTAGACCACTGTACTACCAAGGATTATCCCTGGACTGTTGTTTTGCTATCTCCTGCTTTATATGTGTATGATCTGGACTGTTTATTGGACTATGCCTTACTATTTCCTGAAAGTAAACACAACTCAGTGTATCTGTGTGTTGACTGTGTTTATTCGTACCTACTCTCAATTGTTTTCATGTGTACACCCTTGCTATTCAAGGGTTATTCTGCGAATTCCTTAACATGGTGACCAAAGCTAGACGCAATATTCGAAGTGTGGCCTTCCCAAGGCATTATAATATAGAATTGACAATTCACGTGATCTTGATTCTATCACTCTGTTAATGCAGCCTAGGGTTGTATTGGCTTTTTTGGCAGCTGCAGCACACGGCTGGATCCTATTTAAGTCATCGTCCACTGAGACACCAAGACCCCTCTTGCAGTTACTGCTACTGGCACCGGATTCCACCTATTTTACACCTGCGAATTTGGTTTTCCTTGCCTAAAAGTGTAAAAAACTTGCTTTTCTCCACATGGTAGAGAAATTCTCTACATACGGAAATGTATGACTAGTTTTTCTTTTTCTTTCTTTTTCTTTTTTCCCCCCTAATTACTTGCATAGGGATTATTCTTTACACTATTTACGTTGTTTTTATTTGTGTGTGTGTGTCATGGATTGCACCAGTGAGGCTAAAACCAATTTCGTTGTATACATGATGTACAATGACAATACAGGCTATACTATTGAATTTCGAGTGGATTTTTCAAGGTGTGGCTGAAAAAGTTGTTTCAGCTTAAGTCCAGCCTCAAACCCACATAGCACACCATTCTGGGCATTGTTACAAAAACCACTCAGCCTCCTGGACCGATTTTTACCTCATGGATTCCAAAGTGAGCGTACGAATCGAAGTAATAATCCCTCGACGTCATTTCTTCCGGATTCAGGAGTTTCGCCAGCTTGCCTCGGCCGGGACAACTTGGCGCCAACGGAGTTTGAATGGCAGGCGGGACAGGATTCGTCATGGCGACAGGCTGGAGAGGTTTGGGGGCGCCGCTGTACACCTGAAAAGGCATCACGGGAAAAGTAAATAATCTTAGCATTTCACGCCCACACAGCGTTCGCTTCTGCACTTTCAGTATTTGCTTTTCTTTCTTGTCATATTTTTTTCAGTATTTAGGGGATCTTACTTTTTACCAGCTCAAACTCTTCTTCCTGTGTTGATCTCATTAAATTAGGACAAGAAGCAATGGATGGAAACTAATCAAGGAGAGAAGCAACGTGGAACTAAGGAGAAATTTGCTGACAGTTAGAACAATTAATCAGTGGAACAGCTTGCCTCCAGAAGTTCTGAATGCTCCAACACTTTTTAAGAAAAGATTGGACGACCATTTGTCTGAAATGGTATAGGGTTTCCTGTCTGAGCAGGGGGTTGGACTAGAACAGTGGTGGGGTTGCTACCAGTTCGCCCCGGATTGGGCAAACTGGTAGCGGCGGTAGTGGGAGGCTCCACCCACCCGCCCGGATGCTTCTACGCATGCACAGAAGTTTCTCTGCATGCACAGAAGCGTCGCACGCACACACGCGTGAACTGGTAGCAACGGGAATTGAAACCCACTACTGGACTAGTAGTAGTAGTAGTAGTAGTGGACACGTAGGCCCGTTTTTCATCCTCCTCAGGCTCCAGAGGCTTTCTTAGAGCCTGAGGAGGGCGAAAACAACCTTCCCCAACCCCCAGAGGCCCTCCGGAGGCTGGAAACAACCCGTTTCCTGACTTCCGGTGGGACCAGAAGGCCTGAAAATCAGTTGGCCGGCGCGCGCATTCGCACTGGAGCTGAGCTAGGGCACTCATATGCCCACAGATATGGCTCCACATGCCACCTGTGGCACACATGCCATAGGTTCACCATCACAGTTTAGTTTAGTTTCGTTTAGTTTAGTTTAGTTTAGTTTAGTTTAGTTTAGTTTAGTTTAGTTTAGTTTAGTTTAGTTTAGTTTAGTTTAGTTTAGTTTAGTTTAGTTTCGTTTCGTTTCGTTTCGTTTCGTTTCGTTTCGTTTCGTTTCGTTAATCAAGGAGAGAAGCAACGTGGAACTAAGGAGAAATTTGCTGACAGTTAGAACAATTAATCAGTGGAACAGCTTGCCTCCAGAAGTTCTGAATGCTCCAACACTTTTTAAGAAAAGATTGGACGACCATTTGTCTGAAATGGTATAGGGTTTCCTGTCTGAGCAGGGGGTTGGACTAGAACAGTGGTGGGTTGCTACCAGTTCGCCCCGGATTGGGCAAACTGGTAGCGGCGGTAGTGGGAGGCTCCACCCACCCGCCCGGATGCTTCTACGCATGCACAGAAGTTTCTCTGCATGCACAGAAGCGTCGCACGCACACACGCGTGAACTGGTAGCAACGGGAATTGAAACCCACTACTGGACTAGTAGTAGTAGTAGTAGTAGTGGACACGTAGGCCCGTTTTTCATCCTCCTCAGGCTCCAGAGGCTTTCTTAGAGCCTGAGGAGGGCGAAAACAACCTTCCCCAACCCCCAGAGGCCCTCCGGAGGCTGGAAACAACCCGTTTCCTGACTTCCGGTGGGACCAGAAGGCCTGAAAATCAGTTGGCCGGCGCGCGCATTCGCACTGGAGCTGAGCTAGGGCACTCATATGCCCACAGATATGGCTCCACATGCCACCTGTGGCACACATGCCATAGGTTCACCATCACAGTTTAGTTTAGTTTCGTTTAGTTTAGTTTAGTTTAGTTTAGTTTAGTTTAGTTTAGTTTAGTTTAGTTTTAGTTTAGTTTAGTTTAGTTTAGTTTAGTTTAGTTTAGTTTCGTTTCGTTTCGTTTCGTTTCGTTTCGTTTCGTTTCGTTTCGTTTCGTTTCTCACAGGTACTCCTTTACTTAATGACCACAACCGATCAAAATTTCTGTTGTTAAGGAGACATCAGTTAATAGCACTTAGCAATAGCACTTAACTTATGTACCGCTTCATGGTGCTTTACAGACCTCTCTAAGCAGTTTACAGAGTCAGCGTCTTGCCCCCAACAATCTGGGTCCTCATTTTACCGACTTCAGAAGGATGGAAAGCTGAATCAACCTCGAGCCCATCAGGATTGAACTGCTGGCAGTCGGCAGAGTCAGCCTGCAATCCTGCATTCCAACTGCTGCGCCACCAGGGCTCTTAAGTTAAGCGAGCTTTGGCCCATTTTACAGCCGTTCTTGCCACAGCGATTAAATGAGTCATTGCAGTTGTAGGGTTAGTAACAGCCTTGTAAAGTGAGTCTGGCTTCCCAACTGCTGGTCAGAAGGTCACCAAAGGGTGAATCCGGGACACTGTGACTGTCATAAATATGAATCAGTTGTCAAGAGTTTGAATTTGGATTGTGTGACCGTTGTTAACTTCAAACGGAACTGAAAAAAGTGGTGTCAGCGTCTCAGCACTGACATAAAAAAGGGAGGATGAAGCTTGAACTTTTGCCTGCTAAATCCCTTTGAAGTTTCGATCTCCTTGGAGATGAAGTGGGAGGGGGAACATTCCTGTGAACTGACAGGAAAAGGAATCAGGAGAGTGACTTGGAAGATAGCCAATGAGAAGCAGAGAATTGGGGATCGGAAAGGGAGGGATTGGGGGGCAAAGGTCAGTACTGACCACGCAGAGTCATGATCCGGTTGTTGTATTCGAATAAAGAGAAAATTTCCTTAAGGATTGGCAGTTTGGAAGTTCATTTATTCTGAGATAGCATCGAAGCCTGACAAGTGGCTTATGACCATTTTTCACACTTTACGACCATTGTAGCATTCCCCACGGTCATGTGATCAAAAATTCAGAGCCTTGGCAACTGACTAAATGAACTATTATTGTAAGTCAAGGACTATCTGTAATCTCCCAGATATCTTGGGACATTCACTCTCAGACTACCTCTCTCGCTAAAGCCTGCCAGAAAATCTGACCACTCTCCTAGGGTTTATACAGCTTCGCTCAAATGGAGAATCCTTTAAATCACTGACCAAGAAAATGGTCCATTATGGTTGTTAACAGCATCTTTAATAGCTTTTATATCTCTCTTGCATTTCCGGGACCTCAAGTATGACATCTTTCTCGGGAGCTGGCTCAAACCATCCTCTTTCCCAAGGAAAGTTTTCTTGGGCACCGTCCAAGCAAACAATAAATAGGTCTTTGCCAATATCTAAAACAGAAAACAACGATCTGGTCTGGGCTGCAAGAGTGGTAGCTAAAACAGCTGTGAAAATATGAAGGGCAAAACGAGATAAATTCAACGAATAAATAAATAACAGAATGACAGAACGAACAGAGTTGGAAGCAGGGGTGAAATCCTGCCGGTGTTGTCCGGTTCGTGCGAATCGGTAGCGGTGGCGGCGCATGGTTCGGTGAACTGGTAGCGGCAGCAGCACGAGGCTCCGCCCACCTGCCCGGACGTCGTTAGTTCCTGGTTTTAACCAGGAAGTAATCCATTTTTGACCCTCTGCACATGTGCATGCACAGAGGGTCAAAAATTGAACGTGACGGAAACGAAGTAAGAATATTTTATTGATGTATTAAGAGATTTTTAGAACGTTTAATATGAGATTTTAGTATTTTAAATGTTGAAAAAGAATGGTGTTTGAGGGTTTGAATGAAACTTATCAGTGTTTGTTAATGTTTCTAAAACTCTAAAAGTTATTGGATTACATGCTAAGAAAAAGGCTTTTATACTTAGGAAGAAAGAATTTAATTTAATGAATTTTCAGAATTTATAAAAGGAAGGTGGATGAATAATTTGTAAACAGGGAGTTAAAGTGTGTGAGGGAGTTTTGAATTTTGCAGTAAGTTAGAATATTTTAGCATATGTTTGTTAAATGTTATACCCTGTTTTTGCTCTGGGAAGTCGGGGGTGGGGGGTGGGGAGGTGGGGTTGAAGGTTGGGTTAGGATATGAAACGGAGAGACAGATAAATGTATTAACAGATAAGTAAATGTGAGGGAAATGTTACATTAAATGAAATGAAAAGATGTACTTAGACGATACAATGAATGATTGATTATATATTGTATATTTGTTTGTTCATAAAATAAAAAACTTTTTTCTTAAAAAAAAAAAATTGGACGTGACGTTGGCACGCGCACTTCCGAACCGATAAGAGAAGGTAAGTAGATTTCACCTCTGGTTGGAAGGGGCCTTGGAGGTCTTCTAGTCCAACCCACTGATCAAGTAGGAAACCCTAAACCATTTCAGACAAGTGGCTGTCCAGCCTCTTCTTGAAAACCTCCAATGATGGAGCATTCACAACTTGTGAAGGCAAGCTGTTCCACTGGTTGATTGTCCTCATTGTTAGGAAATTTCTTAGTTCTAGGTTGCTTCTCTCCTTGGTTAGTTCCCATCCATTGCTTCCTGTCCTGCCTTCCGGTGCTTTGGAACACAGGTTGACCCCCTCGTCTTTGTGGCAGCCCCTCAAATATTGGAACCCCGCTATCATATCATCCCTAACTCTTCTTTTCATTAAACTACACCAGGGGTCAGCAACCCGCAGCTCTGGAGCCGCATGTGGCTCTTTCATCCCTCTACTGTGGCTCCCTGTCGCTGGGCAGCTCCACATTTGGAGCTTTCGGTTAGGACAGATAGAGGAAAAAAGACGCCGCACTAGGAGGAGACTCTACGGTGGGAGAACCGGACTTCCGGTCAGCAGAGGAAAAAGGATGCCATGCTAGGAGGAGACTCTATGGTGGGAGAACTAGATTTCTGGTCGGCAGAGGAAAAAGGATGCCACACTAGGAGGAGCCTCTATGGTGGGGGAACCGGACTTCCGGTTGGCTCCAGAACTGAACGGGGGGGCTTCTGGTTAGGACCTTTGTGGTTCTTTGAGTGTTTAAGGTTGCCGACCCCTGAACTAGACATACCTAATTCCTACACAAGGTTCTCTCCTTGTGGCAGCCCCTCAAATATTGGAACACTGATATCATGTCACCCCCTTAGCCCTTCTTTCCCCTAGACTAGCCATACCCAATTCCTGCCACCGTTCTTCATATAGTTTGGTCTCCAAGCTCTTAATCGTCTTTGTTGCACTTCCCTG